CGGTGATCTGAAGAGGACTGTGCACAGGAGATGCCCTCGCAATCTGACAGATTTCAGTGTTATTGCAAAGAAAAGTGGGCAAATATTGTCAAGATGTGCCATGCTGATAGACTCATACCCAAAAAGACTGAGTGCTGGAATAAAATCAAAAGGTGCTTCAACAAAGTATTAGCTTAAGGGTGTGCACACTTATGCAACCATATTATTTTAGTTTTGTATTTTTACTTCCCTCCACCTAAAAGATTTCAGTTTGTTGTTCAACTGAGTTGTACAGTTTATAGGTTACATTAAAGGTGGAAAAAGTTCTGAAATTATCTTTGTCTCATTTTTTACATCACATTGCAGAGCTCTATAAACTGGCCCTATGGAGAGCAGTGGTCCCTACCTTTGCAGCAGTGTTGCCATATGCCACCTTCTGGATTAGTATGGCTGCTTCCTGTAGACAAAATCCTCCCTTGATGATCTTGTGCCTTACCCTCAGAACATTCCTCCTCTCCAATTAGTGGCACCCATTGACAATCTGTTACCTTTTCATCCTCCCCCTCCATATTGCTGGAGCCCACTTTGCAGTAACTTACGGCTGCTGGAACATCAGTGCATCTTGCTTTTCCTTTCCTGATGTCTTCTTTCTTTATGGCCTTGGTGCTATTTTTTTTATCATCATTATATGACACAAGGAATGCTTGCACATGACCAGGACCATACTCTTCCTGTGATTGTGTGGTCAAATAATTCTAATGTCACCTAATTATCAGTTTGCGGGGCTATGGTGGGATTAGCAAAAAGGAGGGGAAGGAAGAAGACATGAGCACATTAGCAGTAGTTCAGACAACTGTTTTCTCTGGGCCTGGGTAGAGGAAAAACAGGAAGGCTTTGTCATCTAGTCAGCTACCACCTGCACATGCTATGGCTGTATAGCATGGACACTCTGTGATAGAAAAGGAAGCTGTACCTAGCCTCTAGATGCTCACCCCCCCTACTACCTCGGTGTGCACAACCTCTGCTTGACATTTTTAATAAAAGGGGATTACCAAAATTTAATGGCAGTGATTTCAATAGGAGGAATAAATATATGGTGCTAATGGTGCACACTACTTTATCACGCAAGTATGCAGTGAACTAACAGTAAAAAAGATAAATGTGAAATAAAACAATAAAAAAATGCAAAGAGATGTGTTGTGTGTGTGGGGATGGGGGGGGGGGGGGCGAATAACATTAAAACAACAACTACATATAACACCCACCTACTTAGGTGCTAGGATTTGTATATTTAAGATAAGTATAGTTGTGTTTCTCTGCTTAACAGATAGGCTGTTAGGTAAATTCAATGTGGTGTTCTGCTTAACAGAGTGCTGTGATTGATTAATCATGTCTGCTCATGATGCTCTGGTGCTGTTTGAGTTTGTCTGAGTTCTGCCTGCTTTCAGGAAGCTATGAGAACCTTCCAGAACATGGGAAGAGGCTATGCAAATGAACAGCATGAATATGGATACAGCCCTGGGAAATTGCAGGGGTGGGTGGCCCCAATGCATGCTGGGAGTGGTATTTATGTTCTGTGAGCACAAGGGTTCAGCGTCTTTCCCTGGAGAGGTTGCACCATGCCAGGCTGGAGGCACGCTGCCTCACCTGGCACTTGGCCTTGCAGGTCTCAGGTGGGCAACCCAAGGGTCAGAAGTTATAAAGAGTGACCCAGATTCTACAAAAAGCTGACTGAGGGGAGCCAAAGATCTGTCTGGTATCACAATAGAGAGAGAGTCGCTTGGAAGATTGGCGGGAGGCTTCCATTTTGTTCTTGGGCTTGTGAGTACAGACTCTGAGAGATCTTGGGGACTCTGTGTGCTTGCTACCCCCTCGGTACTTGATAATCAGCGTGGGTATGAGAATATATTGGACACTGGCTGGTGTTCTGAAGAGCTTGTTGAACTGTTGCTACTGCAAACGACTTTGCTCAGTTTCTATTACTTTGGACTGCCACAGTCTGCCGTAACAGGCTTGTACCTGAGGAGCTCTGCCCTGCAAATACTACTACTGCTAACCTCCTAAACTACTTGTTGCTACCATTTAAAGAGAAGTCTGCTATCTGCTTTCAGCCAGGACTTCAACAGTGCTCAACTGAGAGATCAGCTAGATGTCCTCAGTTTGATTAGTTCTAATTTTGGAGTATCTTTCTAAATTCCCCATCCCTGTCCCCAGTTCTACAATAAAATTCCAAAAACAAATATCCTCTAGACTGGTCATTGAAGACAACGAGTGAAGAGTGTGTGTACCTGGCTCTGGAAAATACTTTGAGCCTGGCTTCGGGGCAAAGAAAGGGAGAAACCTGGGCAAAAATAAAAGCAGCTCCCCTGAGGGTAGTGCTACATACAGTTGTTGCTAATGCACACAAAAAGGTTGTCCTGAAATAGACTGTTGGTCCTCTGAACTGGGATTACACAAAAATATGTAGCCCACAACACTACAATCTACAATAAATATATTAATACTAAGTCTCCCTACCTACCTTTCAGATCTCCCTTAATTACTCCAATACACAATGGCAAAAGGCTGCTGGGGACCCACCCTTTTATAGTAAGGGGGCCATGCAGTGCATTGTGGTTACAAGGAATTCAACCCGGAAAGATGCACTCTAAATTCACCATGAATCTCGAACATTCAAGATTCCCCTCGAACCCATGGTAGTGGGAAACCTAAACCTCGTCCCTAATGGCCACATAGTTGCACTTCTATTAATTAGTATGAAATTCTCTGCACAAAATATCAATATATATCTGTCAGTCAGGACACAGAGATGTCTGTTCAGATATACAGTTTGTGCAGTTCAGCCATGTTTTCTTATTAATCTATTATTCTGTAATACTTGTATCAGCCTACTGAAAATGATCACTTGGCAGATGAGTTTCCTAATCTCCAGAGTTTGGTTTGTAGTTGTCAATATTCTATACACCAGTACTTTATTTGGTCTGTCAATTAGATAGTTTAATTACCTCAGTAGGGATAGAAATGGATGCGATTCTGAAATAACGAGCACTGGGATATCTTTTCTTTATCAGCAGAATCCACCACTTCTTTAAGTACATAACTATGTTGTTTTTCTATGAGCATTAGATGATTTATAGATTAACCATTGCAGTCAGGACCTTTCCTCATCAGGTTACACTATTCATTAAGCATTTTTGTATGACTTAGTTAACTGATGCACATTCTATCTATCTATCTATCTATCTATCTATCTATCTATCTATCTATCTATCTATCTGTCTGTTTTAATAAGAGCTTAGATCCATTTTCTTCAATAACAATGGATATGACCATGACAGCACCATGTAAATACCCCACAACATCTTTTATCCTACAAGCGAGAGGGAGGGGTCTTTAGCTGGTAGGGGATATATTGTTGTGGGGAGGGGAGCCTTATGTTGCTGGGGATCAATTGTTGCTGAGAGGGATCTACTGTTGAAAGCGGGATCTACTGATCTACTGGCTACTGGCTACTAGAGGTTCTATTCATGCTGGCTGCTGGGAGAACTATTGTTGCTGATGGGGTTTTATTATTGCCCCAAGATCAATTGTTGCTCACCGCGTCTATTGTTGCTAGGGTGGATCTATTGTTGCTAGGGGGTCTTTTGTTGTGGGGGGGTCTATTGTTGCTGGGGGTCTATTGCTGCTGGCTGTAGGGGATCTATTTTACTGCTTTTCTTGCTAACACATTTCACCACAAAATGATACTTTGTTCTGTATTCTCTAAAATGGGTGGTACTGGGAGATGAGTAGGGGGTGGACCCAAGGGGCGGGTACGGGGTGAAGGCAAGGGGTGACTCGGAAGGGGGGAGTACCTGCTCTTACTCTCTGGAAAAAAAAGCCCTGCTCCTCCATTCTCTCCATGGTTCTATTATATATAGGAACATACCAGTAACCACCACCTTGCTCACTCTAGAGATGACCAAAAGTACTGTGCAAAGCACATTAAAAACAAATGGCAATGAGAGAATAAGGAGAGATTCTGGAGCTCAAAGAGACAACACCTTATATTGGTGTCAGAGACAAGAAGGGTGCCCCTTTCAATTGAATCAAAGGGAAGAAGAATGTTGTAGCATTGGTTTCAGTGGGGGGCTGACTGGTCTTTACAAATTTGTTAATGGGAGGAGGATGACCCTTGCTTTAGTGGCAGTGAGAGGTAGACTGCACTTAGATTGGTGGTCAGAGGGAGGAAGAATTCCTCTTACATTGGTGTCAGTTGGAGGATGACTGCCCATTACATGGGTGTCAGTGAGAGGAATTGCCTTTACATCGGAATCAGTGGGAGGAAGACTGACCCATCATTGGTGTTGTGGGAGGAACATTGTTGCATACAATTATGTCAGATGCCATACACATGGTCAGAGGAAAGTGGACTGTCCCTGCATTGGTAGTCAGTGGGATTCAAAACTCTTCTAATATTTGGTGTCAATGTGAGGAAGACTGCTCTAGCAATGAAGTCACTGTCATCTTACCTAAGAGATGGAATCAAACACCCCATGTCCCTTTTTGGCTTGGCCAAATGGTACTGAATGTGAAACTTTGTTGACACTGTCAGCAGGAATATCCAGGGTACCACACAGGAACCTAGGGTGCATGCTTCAGGTGCCAAGGTCTAGCAGCATGGATTGTTTAAATTATGCTTCTCTATGCTGTAAACATAGCATACTAGCTATACCACCACTATTGATGGTCACTTCCAGCATATCAGCACATGTGCGAAATGGGTTGCTGTGGGTTGAAACTGGGCTAATGGATCAAGTTTGGTCATTGCTAGTTTTAAATACCAACTGCTCCAGGACTGCTGTTCATATTAGGTAAATCACTATTTTATCCTGAACATTGCAGATTCATTTCTAAAACATGATTATGCAAGGCTCTTTAACCGCTTGCTCGCCACTCTATAGCAGAAACACTGCTACAGGGCAGCAGGGCTGCCCAAAATCATGTATATATACGTGATTTTGCATTTTCGGGTAGGGGGAGCACTACCCGCGCCTCCACAGAGTATCACTGATGGGGGAGAGGTCTGTATATAAACAATACAGATCTCTTACCTGTCAGCTCCTACACACTGCTTTGTATTGCTTTGCATAGCAGAGCAATACAAAGCAATGCACTTACACAGCACACAGTAAACCAGCACACAGTTAACCCTTTGATTGCCCCAGATGTTAACCCCTTCCTGCCCAGTGTCATTAGTACAGTGTCAGTGCTTTTTATTAGCAGTGATCACTGCATTAGTGTCACTGGAGATGTCAGTGACAGTTAGTCATTTCCCCACAGTGTCAGAATGCCCACCGCAGTCCCGCTATAAGTCGCTGATTGCCGCCATTACTAGTATAAAAAAAAATTCCAGTATCTATACCGCCATTTGTAGATGCTATAACGTTCACATAAACCAATTGATTTACACATATTGGGATTTTTTATTAGCAAAGACATGTAGCAGAATACATTTTGGCCTAAATTTATGACAAAATTTGATTCTTTAAATTTTTTTACTGGACGTTTAATAGCAAAAAGTAAAAATATCTTTTTTTTCAAAATTGTGTCTTTTTTTGTTTATAACGCAAAAAGTAAAAAATGCACAGGTGATCAAATACCACTGAAAGAAAGCTCCATTTATGGGAAAAAAAGGACATACATTTCATTTGGGTGCAGTGTTGCATGACCGCACAATTGTCAGTTAAAATAAACGCAGTGCAGTATCACAAAAAAGGGCCTGGTCTGGAAGGGGGGTAAATCCTGAGAAGGGCAAGTGGTTAAAGTCAGCAAGGGTCTATTTACATTGTTAAATTACACAGTAGTGCAGAGCTGGTTTAAACATGGAAATGTTTTGTCATCAAAACTATATAGAAATCTCCGCATAGTTTGCAGGGTATAACGTATATTATAATTAAACCGCATTTTAAAATGGTGACTGTGACGCTCTGTGACTGTCTTCATGGGCAAAAACACAGCACTAACTAATATAAGACCATTTCTTACATTTAATTGATTGTGGTGACATTCATAACAGAATTAAAATAATCTACCTAAATCAACTCTCACTCTTGTTAAAGTTTAAAAAAAACTGCCTTTTTAATTTTAATTTTTGACAAGAGAATACAGCTTGTGACAGATGACATTGTAATTTTCATATCGCTCAGCATTTATAAAACATCGCTAATATGATTTCTACCTTCCCTTTGTTCTCAATTAAATTAAATGTTTCACTACAATTAATGCCTTCTTACACTTTGGTTTTTCATTAAAGTTTCCTCTCCCCTCTGTTTAAACATGTCTCATATCCTTTTTCCTGAGAATTTCCAACTGCTCCAGCAAATGTTTCATTATGCCTCCAGCCATAAATATAATTGTGAACCAATATCATTTTAATTGTTTCACTTAAAACTTGTTTTAAATGATTCAACAGTCATCCTGAAAGATAAGTGCTCTTGTAGCCTGCAGGCTTTCGAGGCATAATAGCAAGAGGCGATGTAACAGAATATCGAAATAATGAAACCATATGCACAAGATAATGACAAAGCACTTGTATTGCTGCTAAGATAAATTAAAAAAAAAAAACTGTAGATCTTCTCTGGTCTGAAGCATCACATCCATTTCCATCCTCAGCATCATTTCAATGATTAGACATCCCAAAACAAATTGATGGAGCAAGACAGAGTGTAGGGGGAAAAAAAAAACACCAACGCCATGCTTAGATTTACAATATGGCCATAATAATTGCTTTGGTTTCTATAGCCGTAGATTGTAAATAATGGATCTAACGAGCTTTACAAATGCTCTTGTTAATAACCAGAAAAGATGGTGTTTTCTCATTGGAGGAGGACGTATAAATTAGAGTTAATTACAGGAGATAATTGCAGCAACCAGCTTTTGTGCATGTGTACGCCTGATGAATGCATTGAACCAATGCTTCTTTGTGTCTTTAAATTTAATAAGCAAACAGCTTTTTTATGTTTGCCGTTTACTGGCATTTCCTGGGTCTGGCAGGAGAAATATGCGTTGGGAGGGCTTGCTAATGGCTGAACATAATCACATTAATTAAAATATAACAGCCATTAAAAGATTTGTAATATGAAATTAGGGCATGTTGTGAACAGAGAGTATTGGGCTTAGAGTGCATATTACAGCCATTACTCTGTGCTCACTGCACAGCAGTGAGAAACCTTGTGTGTCATAAATGTAATGTATTAGCGTTGTTTTCCCTGAAATCTATGGTTTTTAGTTTCCTTTTAAAAAATGTAAACATTTGCTTTTACCACTTTAGAGGATTCACAATAAAGTCAGTGAAAACTGAAACCCTAAAGCAAGTATTAATAAATCCTTTAAAATTGATTTTTCTATATGGTTATTGTACACAGTTTTCTCTAGTCTCCACTTTTTATTTCTGTCTTTAGAAGTTAAAGTGGAACTTCACTCTCTCAATCAACATTGACTTTTTTAATCCTTATGCTGTCAGCATTAGTAAATAGATAGAAAAGTATATTATATTTACTTGTTTTAAACTTGTTTTTAGCTTATTGCCTTGGAGTTTATATAGAGCACTCTTTGACCACTCTTATATCCAAATGTACGTTCCCCGACAGTTTGTACTGGGACTTTTAAGGCAACTCAAAACAAATAATATAAACATGTAAATCATTTTATTACAAAATCGTTGTGAAACATCCTAATTTAACATATTACACAAATGTTAAAATCATACATGAGAAGAAATGGCAAATTTGCCTGTAAGCTTGCTGTAGGCTGAAAATTGGTATTCACGCTCTCCTGTGTGCCAGAAGAAGGCGAAGGGCGAGTGAACTTCAGCTGAAAAGACCAACACGTTTCAGAGCAAATAACTTTCTTCAGGGGTATGCTGAAGGGGAAGGATGGCCAAGAATTCATACCCACTATATGCTGTAGAATATTTCTTGGCCATCCTTCCCCTTCAGCATACCCCTGAAGAAAGATTTTTGCTCTGAAATGCGTTGGATCTTTTCAGCTGAAGTCTGACGTGACGTCGGACGTAGATGTAAACCGGAGATAGCAGAGCGTCTATCTTGAGAGAGGTTCTGTATAACAAATGCTGTTATTGAATGGATAAAATACTACTACACTGAGGATATATGAGTTTTTTAAGAAGTTCTACTTGCAAGCACATTTTTAATAAATAGACCCATTAATAATATATACTACACTATATGGTCTTTCTTTTTGACCTATGATATGATGTCCTAATGAGATCGGAAGCTGGATCAGTGTTGAATGAGAGGAGCCATTTCGTATCTAGACTAGTGGACATTTAAGTCCTGTAAGGTGCATGGTTTGGAAGGTGACGGTGAGTGGATTTTGTTGCACTAGTGGTGTTGAAGAGGGGATCACATATTATTATATGATTATAGATACTACACTATTATACGTTTTCTCCGGAGGTACTCTTTACAAAGATAAGGATGTACTGGAAGTATTGGTTTTTGAGCAGATTTTTACCATGGAATGAGATTTGAAGTTATGTACAAGTATGCATAGGCTAAGAGTATGTTATCCAGCCACATAGAAGTGGACACTGGGTAGATTAATATACATTTTTAACACAATGTACACTGAGATTTGGATTTTGAGTTTTATTTGATGTTTATGCAATAGGAATGATGCACTATAATTAGCTTTTGTTTTTTTGAGCCACACGAGCACATTGAAAGAGTGATTCTGTGGAGATGGATCAATTGGGAGTATGAATTCTGAATAATATTTGAAGATTTCACAGACGCTAAGAAGGTTTTATTTGACTTTGGACTTTCGGGGGAGAAAGTGTGACTTTTTGTGCGTCTAGGGTGTTTATAATTATATTTTTGTGGGTGTACCGATTTGTGCTATTCATTACCAATTTTTCATTGGCTCCTCATTGGGACTTTTCATTTTGTTTTTTGTTTCTGATCATAATGATGTTGTTCACATAATTTGAATATTGTCACACAAATAGTGTATTCACTTATGCACTATATACACTCACCGACCTCTTTATTAGGTACACCTGTTCAATTGCTTGGTAACACAAATTGCTAATAGGCCAATCACATGGCAGCAACTCAATGCATTTAGGCATCTAGATGTGGTGAAGACGACTTGCTGAAGTTCAAACTGAGCTTCAGAATGGGGAAGAAAGGGGATTTAAGTGACTTTGAACATGGCATGGTTGATGGTGCCAGATAGGCTGGTCTGAGTATTTCAAAAACTGCTGATCTACTGGGATTTTCACACACAACCATCTCTAGAGTTTACAAAGAATGGTCTAAAAAAAAGAAAATATCCATTGAGTGGCAGTTGTATGGACGAAAATGTCTTGTCAGAGGTCAGAGGAGAATGGGCAGACTGGTTTGAGATGATAGAAAGGCAACAGTAACTCTCATCAATATGGACCAAAATCTCTGAGGAATGTTTCCAACACCTTGTTGAATCTGTGCCACGAATAATTAAGACACTTTTGAAGGCAAAAGGGAGTCCAACGTAATACTATCAAAGTGTACCTAATAAAGGGGCCAGTGAGTGTATATGTTTTCTTAAGCACTATTAATATTTTTATATGTGCATTTTCATAGCACTGCACCTTTCTATAATATATTTGAGTACTGTGTATCGGAGAGTATAATGCTAGCTGCTGTGTACCACTTATACCTTTGGGGTCTTAGCACATTTTTTTTGTTTATTTTCCTTATACCATTGCCAGTGTTCTTCTCCCAGTTCTGCTGTTCCCCCGCACTGTTCATGACATCACATGCTTTCTCATGAATGAGGATATACAAGCATCCTCATTCATGAGAGTGCTCCAACAGGGGACGCAGCACCTCCAATCATCCTACCCTTGCTTTGGCTTGTGAGAGTGACTTAGAGAAATAAGTGAAACATGCTCACCAGCTGTCTTAGGATCAGAAGGGAGGAAGGTTGTGGTCACAAAACAAGCAATAAATCACCCAAAATACAGGTAGAAAAACAGCATTTTTTGTATTTTGGGGCACATCAATCATTTTATATTACATTGATGACTTCATGGGTCTCTTTTGATGCAAGGGTTTCCGACCAATTTAAAAGAATTCTTTTGATCGCGGTGTGGTGACAACACACATTAATTGCAAAGAGATCCCCACACCCTAGATATCTGAGGCTTAATAAGACAAGTTCTTCAGCATGCTACCCAAAGACGTTTTCATCTTTGGCACATAATCTGCAATACCTGATTTTACATTCATAAATATGGAGTTGAGGTAAATGAAGGGGTCTACATATTTTTACCATGTTCTAAATGTGTAATTGTGTTTATTTAGGTAA